CTTCTAATGTCTTTGCATGCTGGGTGGATAGAAGGACGAGTGAGGAAGTAATCAAAGGGTCAAAAGACTGCATATAAGATGAACTAATCAAATGAGAGCAGTAAATAAACCAGGAAAAGGTAAGAAATCCATCAAGTATTACATGAATAGACACTGAACAAATAGCATCTTGGTGGGAAAAAGACATTTTCTGTTTAATCTTTTAGGAAGGATATGATTTGGTAATAAAAACCGGAGCTCATTTTTAGAATCTTAACTGATCCATTAAATAGTAATAGTTTTGCAGTCAAGGAATTTACCTGTGTCTAAGGGGCATGTGTAATACATTTTTCAAAGTACACAAAGTGATTTTTTCCCCAGCATTTATATACCTGAGATCACAACGTGGATTGTACAGGTCTGCTTCTAAATGGGTTAATGCTTCCATGGTGTAGAAGTGAATCAAACAGCTTAAGACTGTGTCAATTGCTGGAAAGATTGCATTGTGTGTAATAGACTGCATACACAGAGTACACTTCTGCAATTCCATATTGAGCTCATGTGTTGTTGTTGATATTTGGTCTGAGCTTGCCCAGGGGAACTTGGGTCCACATCTTTGGTCAACTGAACTTGAGTTGGTCACTGACTTTCTGTCTAACTTACCTTAACAGGTTTGTTCAGATACAAGGAGAGGTAAATGATCTTGCATTACCATCTTGAGCTTTTCTGGGGGAAAGGGGAATACAAATGCACTGGTATAATTTTTAATTTCAATAAAAATATTCAGTGAGTCTTCTCACCATCAGTACTGGGTATATATTTGTTTCCTGCAAATCCTCTCTATTGCTCCTTCGTTAAAATGTGAAACAGGTTAAGGGACTGTTCGGTGACGTTAGCTTTCTCCTTGGGTACCGTCCTTCCATTCCATTCCTCACAGAGTCTTTTGGGGTGACAGTGGTTATGATGATGCCATAGATAGGATTTTTGAATATCATGCCCCTTTGTCAGTGTTTTGACTGAACTGGTCGTCTTTCTTCCTTCTTAGTCTCTCATGTCTGGTTTGGCTTGCATCGATGACAGAATTGGAAGATGTTATGTGGGCTGTTTCTCCTGCAGTTGGGTCACTTAATTCCCTGGAAGTTGTTCCATTTCTCACAGAGTCTTTTGGGGTGATGGTGGTTATGATGATGCCATAGATAGGATTTTCGAATATCATGCCCCTTTGTCGGTGTTTTGACTGGTCATTTTTCTTCCTTGTTAGTCTCTCATGTCTGTTTTGGCTTGCATTGTTGACAGAATTGGAAGATGTTATGTGCGCTGTTTCTCCTGCGGTTGGGTCACTTAATTCCCTGGAAGTTGTTAACACCCAATACAGTTCCTAAAAATTCTCACAACGTTTCAAAATGTAAAAAGCAAGAACATGAATAGCTGGGTGAATTCCAAGGCACATTTGTTCCTGAGGTTTTTGTTTCAAAATATTGATTTCAACAAAAATAAGGACTCCACAGACAAAAAATGTGCAGTGTTGCTCATTCATGTCCTGAAGTGATTCACTCAGTACAAACATGATATTCTCAATTTACTAATGGTGGTTAAGAGATTAGAGGAGTGATGTGGATCGTGAGATCTATTCCGTTCCGCCTCCGGCACACCCTGCCTTCTCCCTTCCATGGTTTGCTTTGGGATGCTGTCTTGTTGCATCTGGATTGGCGATAACCTCCACTTAAGCAGCGATTTTCAAACTGGGGTAAAGGGGATTCCTGGATAGCGCTAAGTATGGCCAATCCCAGATGTAACATTGTCATGCTAAACCATAGAAAGGGGAGGGAGGAAGTGGAAATTTCACAGCATTTTTCAATATCCTGAGTATGTCTGGTCAGTCACGTCCGGGCGTTTGTGTTTTGTTTTCAGAGAAATGGCAAGTATTCCAGGGATCAATGTAGATATAATGCTGCTGGTTTGCTTAACTCTGGTTAGCCAATTGAGTGTGTGTGTGGGGGGGCATGCAGCTGCATGTTTAAGCCGAAGAGCCAGCGCTGTCCGAAGACGTTTCCGTGGTCATGTGGCCGGCATGACTAAACACCAAGGTGCACAGAATGCTGTTTCCTTCCCACTGAAGTGGTACCTATTTATCTACTTGCAATTTCTTGCTTTCAAACTGCTAGGTTGGCAGGAGCTGGAACTAGAGACGGGAGCTCACTCCATCATGCGGCACACTCGGTTCTCGAACTGCTGAACTACTGACCTTCCACAGCCTGCAGCTCAGCGTCTTAACCACTTGAGCCACCACAGCTCCTCTCCTGAGTTTAACTATTGTTATTTGTTACATCAGGGATGATCAGACAGGAGTTCCGGGATACTTTAAAGACTAACAAATCCTTAGTCTTAGTGGGTTAGGGCCCCCTTTATCAGATGCAATATAACCTGGTCCATGAAAAATGATGCTAGAATAAAAATGTGTTAATCTTTAAGATGCCACCTGTGCTTTAGCTTGTGAACATGGCTACCCCTCTGGAATTGATGATGATCTTAGCTGAATTTAGGCTTGTCTTTGTTCACGGACACAGTGCCACGTGACAAGTGGGCTGATATTTTTTTTTAAGTGCCTGTTTCTGGTTTGAGAAAGTAGTTCAAATGCATTTAGGAGTGTTTCAGAATCTGTTGCTGGAGAGCTATATTGATCTGTGAGTGGAAACAGACCTTATGTACTTCATATGCTGTTCCATAAACTCTAATATGTTTTTGTTTCAAGACATCAACAACAATCTTTAAAGGCTTAGTTGGGATAGGAAAAAATTCCTTTGAGCGTTGAGGCAACAAAATAATTTGTAAGGGCTTTTAGTTAAGATTTATATAAATAAGTATAAAATATCAGTTGAACAAAAGCCTATGGGGTTTTTAAAACCACTTCTTTCAGTACTCAAAACTCTGTTCCATTAATATTTATAATTAACAAGTACAGTAGACTGTTTGGCTGGGCTTCTGCTGTAATATTGTGAGAACTGATTTTATAGGGACAAAGAGGTCCCCTGTATATTTGCTCCGTCAGGCATTATACTTGTATTTTTTGACCTTTTAGTGTGAGGGTTTGTGTATTTTTGGGCGTCAGGATGCAGCAGTAGATGTTTTAAAAAATGGAATTCCAAAGATTCACAAAGAGAGAAATCATTCCAATCTATGCAAAAAAAAATTTTTTCTTGCATAGCATGAAGAATTGTGGGTGGCACTAGTTCTGCATGCATTTACCAACTGATGGGCCTCTTTGTGGCCCTTTCTTAAACAGCCAAGACCCTTTTCTGTTGAACCAAAACATCATGTTCTGCATTTGCTTTGAAGTTGCCTTGAACGCACTGTCTACAGATTTGTAATTTGTGCCGCAGTCTTGGTGGCAAATAGATAGTGTGCAAGCAAAGCAGCAAAAACAATGCTGGGTGAGAGGTCATCAGGAGATATGGCCTGCGGTGTCACCAATATGCAGACGATATCCAGTTCTTCCTTTATTTTCCATCTATTTATTTATTTGTCCACCTAATTTTGAGGAAGCTGTAGATGTTCTTAACTGGTCGTTAGAGTCAGTAATGGATTGAATGTGGGTGAACAGGCTGAAACTTAATCCTAACAAGACAGAGGTGCTCTGGGTTAGTAGGAAGACGACTAAGGAGCTGAGATCTCCTGTATTGGATAGAGATATACTCCCCTTGAAAAACCACATTTGCATCTTGGAAATGCAGCTTGACACAACAGTCAGCTTAGGAAACCAGGTGGCTGCAGGGGCTTGCATCGCCTGCGCCTGTTCCTGGTGCAGTTAGATCTAGCTCCAGTGACCCATGCCTTACTTACGTCAAGCCTGGACTATAACAGCTAGCTCTACTTCGGGTTACCCTTGAAGGAAGTTCAGAAGCTGTGCTAGTGCAGAATGGTGTGGCTAGACGGCTAGTCAGGGCCAGCTATCGTGAGCATGTGACCCTGATAATACAGCAATAACTCTAGTTTCTGATCCACTCCCAAGCCCATTTCAAGGTGTTATTTTGTCTTTTAAAGCCCTGCATACCTTGGCACCGTGATGTCTGAAGGACAATCTCCCCCCCCCCTAGTTTTATATTAAAAATAATTAAGGTTAAAACTAAGATGCTATTGGACATGAGTGATTCCTATTGGAATAATTGGGGAAATGATCCTCAAGGATCTGTCCTGGGACCTGTTTTGTTCAACGTCTTTATCAATTATTTGGATGAAGGGATAGAGGGAATGCTTATTAAATTTGCAGATGATACTAAATTAGGAGGGGTAGCAAATACGGTAGAAGACAGAGTCAGGATACAGGATGGTCTTGACTGGCTGGAAAACTGGGCTAAAAGAATTGTAGTGAATTTCAGTGGGGATAGATGTAAAGTTCTGCATTTAGGTAGAAAAAATCAAATGCATAATTATAGGTTGGGGGAGACTTGTCTTGGCAGTAGTATGTGTGAAAAGGATCTAGGGGTCTTAGTAGACCATACAGTGAACATAAGTTAGCAGTGTGATGTGGTTGCTAAAAAGGCAAATGCGATTTTGGGCTGTATCAACAGAAGTGTAGTGTCCAGATCACAAGAAGTGATAGTACCACTTTACTCTGCTCTGGTTAGACCTCCCCTAGAGTATTGTGTTCAGTTTTGAGCACCACAATTTAAGAATGATATAGACAAGCTAGAAACGCGTCCAGAGGAGAGCAACAAAGATAGTGAGGGGTCTGGAGACCAAGTCCTATGAGGAAAGGTTGAAGGAGCTGGGTATGTTTAGC